ACGTCCAACTTGGTCAAGCATAACTATACACATCAGACATTTATATGTACACTTGCCGTATACTTCTCATTGCTGAAAATTGAGAATAAAAATAAGCCATAAAATCAAAAAAAATCTCCTTTCCTATATTTTTTTCACTGTTAATTGATATTTTTCGACAACTCGAAGAAGGCTAAGAGTTAGTTATAATTCTAAAAGTTTGTAGCGTGGAATTATCTATGTCGGAACAAACCGAAATTTTTTGCCAAAGCATGGCAAATTCATTTTTTCAACTTCTCATCTTGGGAAAAATACAACAAGTGTACATAAGCATAGCTGATGCGGTAACTTTCGTGAACATGTTTAAGCTTTGTAGGCTCTTTATAGCAGAGATCAAATTTGTGGGCACAAAAAATGCCAGATTTTTTTCCTAACTTCCCTTTATTCGAGCTTTCTAACAAGGGAAGGATACTTGGTGACCATGACCTTTTGCTATGAGGTGTGTACCATTAGGTGCGTCTTAGAACGCTGATTGTAAATCTATATTCATTATCTGCTGTGCGCCCCCTGAACGAAGTTATGAACTCTTTTCCATATTGATTTTGCGAGATTTAGGCAGTCAAAATCGTCAGTATCCAGACTTAGACTCTGATGTATCGGTGGCAGTTTTCCTGAGATTAACGTGAAGCTTTACTTTACCTGTACGCTCATTTGTAGTGCGTAAGCGAACAAACTGACGATACTGGTGAATGCTGCACCAAAAAACAGTGCAAATTTCGGTGACAAGAAATGTTCATAACTTCTTTCGGAAGAAAGCACAGCAGATAATGAAAGCAGATTTGGAATCAGCGCTTTAAGATGCATTTAATGGTGTACGTTTCATTTCAAAAGGCCACGGCCACCAAGTATCCTTCCCCTGTAAGAGTGTTCAAACACTATGTAGTAGAACTAGTTTTGGTATATCGTATCATATGTTTCATACTTTTTATACCTCTTCCGCCACTCTAAGATGATTAACATGCATTTCGTCGACCTAGTATTAGGTTGTCCGGAAATTAATGCAGGTTTTGAATTTCAACCACAATAAGTCATACACTTCTCATTTCTAAATAGGTTGCAAGGTACCATTCGATAGAAAGCAAGCTCTACAAGGCGGCTATCTTGCTTTAGCAACAGTTCTGATCCACCACGAGTTTCGAGCCAGAAACTGAAAAGATTCAACTGCCTGAAAAATTGAGAAAAATCGTAACTCAGTTCATAAAATCCTGCAAAAATTCTAACTTGCTCACGTAAACCCAATCCACATAAGATATCCATATACGCCGTTGCCATATTTTTTCTCTGTTAGAAATCAAGAAAACGGAAATTTTCATGCATTTGCCAAAGTGGTGCTGTGCCGCCCCCCCATAAGTAATTGTATACTACAAACCTGTGGAAGTAAAAAAGTAAATCTTCAGCTCTTTACAAGCTTTAGTTCTCGAGAAATCTGAATTTTAGATTGGACCACCTAACTAATGAAGGCTATATTCGATATTTCTCGAGAACTAAAGCTTGTAGAAAGTTGAAAATTTACGTTTGTACTTCTACAGGTTTGTAGTGCAACTACTTATGTGGGGGCGGCACAGCATCAGTTTGGCAAATGCGTGAAAATTTCCGTTTTCTTGATTTCTAACAGAGAAAAAATACGGGAACGGCGTATATGGATGTCTTATGTGGATTGGGTTTACGTGAGCAAGTTAGAATTTTTGCAGGATTATTATGAACTGAGTTACAATTTTTCTCAATTTTTCGGGCAGTTGAATCTTTTCAGTTTCTGGCTGGAAATTCGTGGTGGATCAGAGCTGTTGCTAAAGCAAGATAGCTATCTTGTGGAGCTTGCCTTGTTCTATCGAATGGTGCTCCTTATTTAGAAATGAGAAGTGTATGACTTATTGCGGTTGAAATTCAAAACCTGCATTAATTTCCGGACAACCTAATAATATAAACAGAGAAGGATGAGAGCTTGCCGTGCCCGGCACCAAAAAGCTCCATGGAAAATGAGCGGGAAATAGAAGGAAAACAGCGCTTAAATCGAATAGTGAACCCCAAGAAACATATTCACAACAGAACCTCCCAAGGTACTGCGCTGGTTAAAGCATACAAATGGCAAGCGGATAATTCTAGGCACAGCTCTTTCCTTCTTTAAGATTTTTAAATTTCAGCAAGAAGGTCAATTGGAATCATTGCATCTCTCTTAGGCCCGTACGCACTTAAACCGCATGGGAGGGCCCGAGCGTGATGCCAGCCCACTTTAGCTGGCTTGGTGTGATGCTCCAAAGTACCCGGGCCCTGCGCGAAAGAGAAGTCAGTGACCGCAAAGGGCCACGTCCGATAGCGAAAGCAGGTGCCAAGACTTCCTCGCGAGCCAAAGTCCACCAGGGCGGCTTGGTGGGACTGTCTTCTTGGGACCGTGAACATGTGCGCCGTGGCGGAGTAGGAAGAGCCGCCAGTAACTCTAAATTACGGTCGAAAAGGGTACTTGGTGCATGAACGCAGAAACATCATCCGACCTGGAGTTCGCTTGCGGGCGTCGTAGACACCTTAGCCAGCGAAGTGACGCCACATTTTCAGGCAGCTCACGTCTAGGTGCCTCTGAACTCGGGGGAAACGGCGCGGGGTAGGAAATATTGACAGGCTGCCTGACCTGTCCGCCTGCGAGTAAGGGCCGCATGCACTAACATGGCCGCGGGGAGGGGATCGCAGTTTAAAAAAAAGCTTCATATTCTGAAGCTCCAGATACCTGGATTTCACGTTGTGTACCTATTCGTAAGTATTCCTACTACCCTTCACTATGAACATGTTGAAGAGGAGCGAGAAGCTGTACGAACGGCATTTTCCAGCTTTTGTATGGTCCCTGATGATTCCCCGCGCTTTTCTTTAGTCATTTTTCTTTCTCCGAAGTTAACGAAAACCTTCCAAAGTTGTACCGCACATCTAACACAACAGTGCCAAGCATGTTGCTGATGAGAACAAATAAGTTTTTGAAAAGTCGAATTTTCCGGTAAACCTCAAATTTCGACCTAAGGATCATCGAAAATTTCATGACTTCAAAACATCATTTGTTCTTATCAGCAACATGCGTAGCACTGTTGGGTTAGATAATCTGCACAACCTTAGAAGGTTTTCGTTAAAGGCAGCGTCCAGGCAGATCTGGACCTATGGAGATTTTACGTCGAAAGTACTTTTGGGGCCCTAACTAAGGCACTGCCCAAGCGGCAGCGCAGGTAGTGCTCTAACGGCTAGGATATCCGCCTCGAAACTGGATCCCGCGATCGTATTCGCATGGATTCATGGCAGTTTCGCGCTGGGATCCACGCTTTGCGCCATGAATCCATGCGAAATACGATCGCGGGGTCCACTTTCGAGGGGAATATCTCAGCCGTTAGAGCACTACCTGAGCTGCCGCTTGGGCAGTGGCTTAGCTAGGGCCCCAAAATTACTATCCACGTGAGATCCCCATGTGTCCAGACTTGCCTGGACGCTGCCTTTAACTTCGGAGAAAGAAAAATGACTTTAAAGAAAAGCGCCGGGGATCATCAGGGATCAAAAAGCTGGAAAATGCGGTTTGTACAGCTTCTCACTCCTGTTCAACATGTTAATAGTGAAGGATAGTAGGAATACTTACATATAGGTACACAACGTGAAATCCAGGTATTAAGCTGCGATCCTCTCCCCGCGGCCATGTTAGTGCATGCGGCCCTAAGAAGGTAAGTCTCCGATATGAGACACCGGGTGTGGCTGCAGCATGTTATCTGGGATCGGGGTTGTCTGTCTCATCAGGAGGCCTTGGCCAGGCGGGGCAGGACCGGTCGGATGCCTCGCAAGTAGATGTTGGCAAAAGTTGAGCCGGTTCACGCTCCGGCTTGAAGTGGTCAATGTTGACCTGTGGCCGTACTCATCAACGAAACCCGTGGGTTCCGGAACCCACTGGGTTAGTGCTTTTGATGAATATCGATTCTTCCCTAGAGTAGAATCGATATTCATCAAAAGCACTAACCCGGTGGGTTCCGGAACCCACGGGTTTCGTTGATGAATACGGCCACTGAAGGCCTGAAGACCTGACCTTGCCGTTAAGCAAACTGAGATCATGGGAAGCTTCTATCAATCTGCACTAGACGATAAATTAATATAGGTGGGCACAGGGATGGTCTTACAAGCACACAAAAACAAATCAATTTTACACCATACAGCCGAGAATGCCACAACTATCATGCAGATCAGAGCAGGCTAATTGAGCTCCTTATTAGCGAAAGATTAACGCTGAATTATGCCAATATTTTTTGCTTACCTCGAGAATAAACCTTTTGTCATGTTTTAGTTGATCAAACTTATGGGTCGATTCCTTAAAGTTTCTCGTACTTATTCACACAGAAAGCCTTAGCTTTTTAAAAGTACGTTGCGCAAAATTGATCGGGAACTCCAAGAAACAGACTTTTCGAGGCAAATCAAACTTGATTAACTTGATCAACCTCCTTTTCTATGTGATTGCAAGATTTGATGCTTCAATTCTGTAGAGTATCCTTCCGAATGCTCCACTTCTGGAAAGTGGAAGCAAGATTTTTACACCAGACTCTATGTTTGAAGACTTATAGTGCCTGTTATTTATTCTCACTTTCGCAGTCGAAAGTGACCAGTCATTCAAACACATTCGCTTTCCCCTTTAGTTCTGTTATGTCCTAAGGCACCCCTTAAGGGATAATTAACTACTGTGCTACTCTCTTCTTCGTAAAAAAATGACGCCTGTAGATTGACAAGTGCTGGAAAATCTTATTTATGCGAAACTTAAGTTAAAACAAATGTTTAGTTATATGCAATTTCGAAGATCCCAGTAGGTTTTTGAATGAATAATTTGCAATAACATTATTTACTAGATATTATAATATTGTAATGCATTATAATAATCACACATTATTTCAGTAGCGAATGGCATTTTAAACAAGTTATTGTTTAAGAATAGAATTCCGCATTCGATTGCTTTCTCTTCATGTAGCGTAATATCTTGCAAGCTTGCCGGACATGTTACAAATGTAGAGCAAAACTGGAAAATAAAGTTTCGAATATTTCCAAATGTAAGAACCTACTGGCAGCATTCACTCCAGCGACTACTACAATAAATATTAGATTTTTTGATGTCTCCACAATGTAACCTGAAAATTGAATGCCTGATTTCATATCGATTAAAATTAGAGGCAGCGCTCGCTACAATCAGCGTCGCCATTAGAATCGCGTGTGCGTGACTTATGGGTGGGATCTTTGTACTGCGCATATTCTACTTCTGAAGCTCATGTGTATGAATTCCCTTGAGGGAGCGGAGCCTCTGTGAGATGTGTGTAGCGAACACCACTGCACCTAAATCTGTGTCAAATTTATGTTTTCTTTTTCCCAGCCAAATCTCACCAGAGTCTCGCGTCGCGTTCAAGCACTTATAACAGCGCAATCAAAAATCGTCTCGTCGACCGGGGGGGGGGGGGGGGGCCGCTGCGCTAGGCCCTTGAGATACGGACGCGTACCTGACCTGCTGCGGAAAAGGGAGTACTTGGTTGACTTCTACTATATAATGGAAGGGGTGCCATTTTTTTCGCGGCAAAGACTTTTATGCCTAAGGCCCCAAGTTTGCGATTCTCTCAGATCGCAAGAAACATTTGCCACATTGCAGGAATGTCAGTTCAGAGATAAAGGTATTGGTAGATCGCATTCAAAGTTTTTGAAAGTGTAGGGTATCGACGTCACGGTAACGTCACAAGAAGGCGAGTGGGACCCCTCCCCGGGGCTCACAAATGTCTGCTTGGAGGTGCGCCACATTCGGAGCGGCCCTGGAGCACCAAAATGGTGAAACGGGAGGGCTCCGGAGCACGAGTGGCAAACCCCCGCTGAGCAGAGCCCGCGAACCTCCCACTTCCTCTCCGGAGGTATCCCTTCGATTGTCTGAGATCAAGCGTTTGCCAGGCCACCGATGGTATTGTTCGGGGCTTATCGGATCATCCGCAGGCATTGTCGGGCACTTACCGGACACTTATCGGCGCGCCTTCGGGATGGGCGTGGCGTCGCCCGTGGGTGGATGCTCGCTAAAATTCTGAGCAGGCACGCACCTCTAAGTTGACAGTCTGCGATTATGCACTGGATGATAGTGTAACACTTACCCTTTTCTTGAGAAATCACGATTATCAAAATAACACCCGAGGCGATATTGAGTATAGCAAGTATAGACTGAAAGCGAAACAACAAAATATACAACAGCCACTTAATTGCGCAAAATGTTTGATATCCACTTATCCAATTTTCATCTTATAAGTTATTCTTTTTGTTTGATTATTCATTCATGCTTTTGCAAATAAATGTAAATCGAAAATTTCCTATTTAACTCGGATTAGGGTTTCATTGGAACATCGTTAGAGAAGGTTTAAAGCGTCCGTTGTGTCAAGTTCTTTTCGTCCAGAGAACTGAAAACTGGTAAGCAATAGAAAGAACATGCTTATTGCGATATAATATATGAACAGCTTCCAAACTGCGCCGATTATAGCTTCTGCAGCCGATCGCCGTTTTTGCTAACGAAGCGCAGCGAGCGAAGTCTTTGTCCTTGGCGCGCGTACGACGAAGAACTCATTGAGAATCCGTCTTTCCAGTGCTTTTTTATAGTTTACTCTGATTTTTCTGTTATAGGCAGGTTTTGAGGTACAATGAGGTACAATTTCTTCGAGTGATAGTTGCTCCAAAATTTGCCTCAAGAGACTCATGCGCTAGCATCGCTACATTCATTGTGGTTTTCAAAGTGGATTGGTTTTTATGGCATTGACACCTGAGTATGCCCAAATTTTACGCCTTTTATGCGTAACGCGGTATGAAAAGCTGGGTGCACATTGAAGAGCATTTGTGCTTATAATGATGGCGCATGGACGTACGCTTAAAAAACGCATCATCCACAATAAATACAAATGTCTCTGGTTGTACTGTCTTAATGCTCAGATAATCGTCGGGGCAGGCGGGCCGCAAACTCGTGCTTTTCTGCAAGCGGTCGGCAAAATTTTGGGGTGTGGCCAAACTCCCAGCAAGCGGTACTTCCGTATTCTGCCAGCGGGCAGCAACACAAAATTTTCTGCAAGCGCTAATCAAATAATCTCTCTCAGCGAGTGCTGTCCAAACTTTCAGCAAGCGCTCGGACTCTTTTTACGCAATTTCCGCCGAACAAAGGTGAGACTCTATGTGGCAGAGGTGTCATCGATGGTTTTATTACCCGAGTTTGGAGTACCTTCTTCCAGCGGAAGGTACACTGGGCAGTGCGGTCCTTCACAAAGGACCGTGCGGCCCCAACAATTTTGCATATTCCCGCGAAAGACCCGCAAGAATGCGGTCACTGCGCCACAACTAACTCTTGAAGAAGCCGTAACTGTTCTCCGAGCGTTCATTTAAATTTTCGCCAACATTCTTCCAAATATCTGCAAGCGGACTGCAGGAAATCAGCGAACTATTTTTCCGGTGCCCGCTTGCCCATAAATCACATGGCCGCCTGCCCGCGGCGATTACCTGAGTAGTTGCACTTGTTGTTCAACGAGGCCAAAAAAGCAGGAGGGAAGAAGTTCTGATAATGGATTTGAGTAAAGTTTGGTGTAGGCATCTAGTAAGGAAAGCGTGTTTAGTCGAAATGGCCTCTCCGGATGGGAACCATACTGCTTTGAAGAGCTTTGCACACTGATTCCAAATCTGTCTTCATTATCTGCCGAGCGCCTCTGGACGCCGAGTTATGACCGTTTTTGGAGCGAAAAATGAACGCAAAATTCGGGTCAAATTGAAGGTCACAATCTTTTCAGCGTTCAGATAAACCATATCAACTAAAAAAGTCTAATATGCAAACAAGCACGCATAAGCAAAACCCTGAAAAGTCCCTTGATGCTGCATGAAGTCATGGCTTTTATAAGAACTGTGGCTCCGCCCCTTCTATCGCTTCTCGCGACACTCCGCCGCACATGGAAGAATTTTTATTGTTTTATTTTAGGTTTTCCTCCGCCGCCGAGTCAACGAGTGATCCCGTTGATTCACGTGGAGCTCACCCTCTCCCGCCTGCCGAAAGTGCGAGCATTGCTCAGCCTTTCACAGTGGGCCAGTCTGCGAATTTTTTTGGGGGGGGGGGGGGCAAGAAACTTTTTTTAAGTGGGGAAAGCCCGGCCACGTTTGTACTTCATTAAATTTACAATAAAAAAACAACAATCTGCCAGACAGACAAAGGTTACACAATCCGAGCAAAAACTATTTTCTATGAAGCTTTCGTGTTTCAAAAGCACTGTCATTTGCTTCTTTTCCTGACGAGGATATCTGCAAGAATAGACGTCTTCGGTATGATTTACGATTGCGCCAACCTAAGCTTACTTAGGAAAAACAAAGGAGCACAAGGCACTTACGTGATTTTTCATTTCGCGGTTTGCGGTCGAGCAATAAAAACAAGGTACGATTGTGCGTGCTCTTTCATTTGACATGCGCTGCAGCATATGCACAGGTGCATTTGTCTCATCCCTGCGGTCGCTTATGGTTGCGTAAACATCGTCATTCGTAGCGTACGTATGGGTTGAGGATCCACAAGCAAATTTGCGCTTGCTTTTTTCCACAATCTGCTTGTTCTTGCGCTGCCGCCCTCTGTTGTGGTGGTTGTGGAGTGGGCTCCTGCATTCGGTTTTCCGTAAGTTGGGTCCTCGGCTCGTGCAGTAAGGACTTGAGTTGCTGCTCTGTTCTGTTGATATTTTCCCTGGTTTTTTTGCCGTCTGAAAACATCTCAATTCGAAACTTTTTTTGCGACATTAGAGATCGACATTTTTAGTTTTTCTCCGTCTTGACCTTGAGTCCGTTGATGATTTCGGTAACTTAGCCAAATCTCAAAAATAGAAAACCAGCAATTCATTTTTTTCCTTTTTTTTACATGTTTGCTGTTCTTCTCTTTAGATTTTTTTGCAGATGTGAATTCGTCCTTACGAAGTTGTTCGAGCTCTTTGTTGAACTCAGATCCTGAATTGGATTTGTGACCTCTTCTCCATAAGCGTCCACGCTTGGAGTATTGTTCGGAGTGTTTACGTCTTCTTCCTCGTTTCCTTCCATGTCTACTTCGGAATATTTCGAAGGACCTGGAACATCCGACATTTTAACTGAGAAGAAAAGTTCTTTTATAGTTTGCGGATAATTCGATACAACAGTGCGCGGTACAACTATTTACAAAGGGTACAAATAAGATATGCGATAACGAATAATGGACGAGAAATTATATAAAGGAAACATAAAAGAGGAGTAAGAAATGGTATACATGAATAATACTTCCAACAGCTTTGTTTACGATTACGAGTATTCTTGGATGATAAAATTGTTTTGAGTGATATCACCAAGACACTAATAGTGATTAGGATTATCGTTAATGAATACGCAATATAGGTTTTAATAACTGTTTATAACTGGAAGATGTCATGAAAGGAAAATTCCGAGCTTTCGTCAGTGATAGATGGAACTTTTATGAGTTGTGAAAAAAGGGGATATCTGCGAAATTGTTGATGAACTATAAGATACCCGAGATTTCGAGGAGCACAGTGTTTTTTCCGCATTTTGCAGAACAAACTGTTCTAATGTTAGCTTTGTTAAATGCGAAATAAACTGAAGTGGTTATTGGTGCGTCTGAACATGGAATTGCGAATGATTGCGATTCACATTCGATTTGTGCTAAAGCTTGTACGACATTGGACTGACATAAAATAGGTTTGGCACCGCGCCTACAGTTATAACATTCAATGAGGGATGATGTACGAAAGGCGCAATAAATTCGTCTACGATCATGCTGACATTCGATTTTGTTACGTTTAATGCTAATACGATTTCGACAGACGCTACCTCTAAAAATACTCTAAGATATGGATTTACTTTCGAGTTAGGCACGACTACAAAATTAGGGTACGTGATCGGTAGCGTAGATATAAGTGGAAAAAGATCACTTGATTTTTCGTTAGAGCAGAAACAAAGCGCCTCATTTTCAGTTGGGGTGCATTTACATGTATTAATGACTGTACATTGCGATAAGTGAGTATCATCACGAGAAAGACAATAGTATGATGGCTTATATTCATTTCCGATAATCGCGGTATGATTTTTACTGATGATAAAAGAACTAGGAAAGGGTACAGGAGGTAATGCGAGATTCGTAACAGAAAGTAGAACGTTGAGAATATTCTTTTTAATGTTCGGTATCACAGATAAATGAAACTGATGGGCTTTTCCGAATATACGATAGATTTCATAGAATTACTCAATGTGTTGCGACAAAATAGGACAATTCAGAATTTCGTAAGTTTTGTCGTCAATAGGCTCCCTTTAGATACGATAAAAAAGACAACCTGGAGAAGGAAATCCGCAGTCACAGCTCCAGAATCAGCATGATTCCGAACAATAAGTTAGACCGAGCTACTTATTTGCTTCCGATAATTCTTTAACAAGAGAGTTGGAATTGAATTGTCTACATTTTTCGCCTAGACATGGGCCCATATGTGAGCATCTTTTACGAGATTGTACTTTTGTTTGCGTATTACGAGAGAAGTATAAGGCTGCGTTCATACTGATTCCCATGTTCTAGAACTGTTCCCGCACAGTTCCCGCACTGTGCTGAAACTGTGCGGGAACAGTTTCAGAACATGGGAATCAGTATGAACGCAGCCTAAAGTATTTGCGTTGCATTTAAGAAGATCTGCTTAAGGTTAATTTTGATTTGCTCGAATATATTGCCTCGTGCCACAAGAGTTAAGCAAAATTCTTTTGTGCGAGGGCTCAACTTTATAACGATGTTTTTCGTAGTGTGACAAAACTTTTCTTGTTCGGAACATTGTAGGTTATCGGTTACGATAGGAAATACTTGCTGACAAGAAAGGATTGGAGTTACTTATGAAAAAATTACGAATGCGAAAATGCTAATGAAAACGTACGACGACCTCTTAAAGCCACTCCTTGATGGAGAAATGGCTAGAGGAATATTATCACTCTTGTCTAGTGCGCTCAAGAGTTTTGCATAGAACTGATGTATGTATCTGATAAGCTTTCTGCCTGCGCATATTGCGACTGCGAGAGTCACGATGGCGGTGTATGCGAACATGGCTGCCATGGCTATAGCAGTACGAGGCCAACAGTCTGGATTGTTAATCATCAGAGCAGAGTTTATCATTTCACAAAAGGGATTGGCCGGACACGTAAGG